TTCCTCCTCTGATTCCATCTCTATTTCTGCCTCATCCTCTTCCTTTTGTCTCTCTTCTCCTCCTCTCTCCTCATTTTTGTTCTCTCCATCACATGTTCCATCCTGAATCTCTCCACCTGCTTCCTCCTGGTTGGTGGCATCAGATACTGTGAAAGCTGCCCACTGGTCCTCTCCAGCCTCACTGTCCGAGTACACAATAGCCAACTCAGCCTGGAGGCAGTCGCTAAGGTGACCGTCACTAAGGTCGTCCCTGTTGCCGAGGCTATGAACCCCAGCTTCCTGTAACGTGGCTGATACTGCCTGCTCTGCCGGGTCTGAGGCAACAGTCAGCAGACTGTCAGAGATGAAGAGAAGCTCCAACAGAGTATCTTCATTCATCTCTTCTCTCCAATCATCCTCTGCTTTTGTGTTTCCTGTTATTCCATTTTCTCCCTCTGTCTCTCCACCTCCTCCATCTCCACTCTCTAGTTTTTCTCTCCCTTCATCCTCTCCCTCTATTTCTCTTCTCCCCCAGTTGTTATTCTCTGTTTCTCCCATACTTCTATCATCTCCCGCTACCTTTCCTCTACCTTCGTCTTCTATTTCTTTTCTCTCTTCAACTTCTCCCTCTGTCTCCCCTCTCCATTCTTCTTCTCCCTCTATCTCACCCCTCCTTTCATCCTGTCCCTCTGTCTCTCCTCGTCCTCTGTCTTCTCCCTCCTCTCTTCCTTTCTCTGTGTCTTGTCCCCCTTCAATTTCATGTCCTCTCTCTTTTCCCTTCTGCCCTCCTATCTCAAAAACAAGATAGTCACACTCATCTCCATTTCTTTTTCCATTTTCTCCCACTGCAGCTTCCTCCACCCCATGGACTTCTGGGTACTGAAGTTCCTCCACTTCATGGCTGTGGCAGCTAAATAAGTTGCCTCTGTCCAGGTCTGTTAGTGGCGGAGATGAGCTCATCTCCATGGTTACTGGATCCGTTGGCTGTGTGGGAGTGGAAGAGTTGTCCACAAGGTTGTTGTTGCCAGAGTTACTGTTGTCGTGCTTACCATCGGTTAGCTCAGGTATTGTCCTCCTGAGACCAGCTGTGGCTCTCTGTGGAAACATAAGATTACATTATAACACTATAATATACTCTAAATATTTGTGTTTATTTATGAAATATGTTTATGTAACAAAAATATGTGAAATGTGGGGTATAAAAAAATATAACCAAATAAACCAAATATAAACAGAGGGCAGGGTTATGGCTGAGGGGATGGGGGTGGGGGTTAACTGCCTAAACCTAACCACATAGTTTTTGTGTATTTATTACTCTAACATGACAATGAAAGTCTGTAGGGTAACAACACTGGCAACCTCCTAGAAAGGGACTGGGCACCTACTGAGCTATGACTATATTTTGATAAGTGATAATGGGCCACGGAATGAAAGATAGCACCTGGCAAAAAGAAGCAGAACAACCAAGTGCATTAACTTTGAGTTGTGAATTTGAGTTAGCACATTTTTTCCTTGTTTTCAACTTAGGTTTCTCTGTTCTGTAGTATCTTCTAAGTCAAAATTCTGACTTACTTCAACCTGCACTAATCAACATTTTTTATATTAACAATAAATCAAAATGATCAAAATGAGTATTTGTATTGGAAAAGGCATCCGTCACAGCCACAGTCCCAACACTGCAGTCCCATTCAGCTCCATGTAGCATTTTAACATCTTTCAGGTTACTGTTATACTTTTACATCCACTGCTTTACTGTTTAGATTTTGTAATCACTTTTTTCACTTAAAAGCATATGCACATATAGACACACTCAAACATGTATAGTACGCAAGCCCATGAACACAGCAGACTAGATTAAAGGACTATATCTATCTATCTATATCATTTTTATTGGGCTAAACACAAGATTTCATACTGTTACCATGGCAACACTGCGTTGGTTGTGACTGGGTAAGTAGATTATTATGGTCTGTCATACCAGGCATGTGTTGGTGACAGATGGGAGCTGTTGCTATGGTAATACTAAGTATAGAGAGGCAGGCAAGCTGCGAAGTCAGTTTCCTTTCACTTCAGTCACAATGTGTGGAAATAAATCAAATTACTTTTCCACTGATACGCTGAGACCTTGCATGCACTTCCCAAGTTATACTGATCGTTAACAGGTGTACTGATGTGATGAGAGAACAAATGTATGGACGTTTAACTATACTATATAGCAACATGAAAATATTTAAATGTCAGTGTATCTGAAAACATTTACACAACACCTAAAGTGACTGCAGAACATATCCAAGCCTATTATAACTAAATTATATCATTTATGATAAGATTCATCATACCTCTGCCTCACTGACACACGTTCTTATCCATGAATGTGTCAACAGAAACACTGAGTGCCAAACGAACTATAACACGGCAGCAGCCTTCTCCATGCATGGTTTGTAGGGTCTGCACTTGAACCTGACTGATCCACTTTTTGGGTGGAGCTCGGATGGTTTCAGAAACCGTGTCACAGAATAGCTTTGTGTGCTTAATGTGTGATGGAGTGTTGGCTGAAGAAATCTAGTCTTTCTCTGTGTTTATTTTTACTTACTCAAAGTTAAATAATGCAAAAAAGTGTAATTACCCCTTTCATCTCGTTATGTAAACACCATTGCATCCACTTTTTAAGGGATGCACAGCAGAAAAACATTTATTCACTTAATGTGAACTACAGTCCTACAGTTCGTCCTCCAAAAAGTGCAGTTTGTTTAACTCCTTAGCACTGAAACTCCAGCAGTTATCTGCACTGTGGCCAGGCTCAGTAGGCCTGGTCACATCACACAGCAGATGCAAACCACAGTGTCTGCTGTCAGAAGTCATGTAGTCACACCGAGTGTTAATGGAGTTATTAACTTTATTGTAAATACTGAATGGTAATGTCTTACTCTATTAATTACGGCCAAAAGATATTATTGTAGTGCGTTACTAAATAATGCATTAAGGCCCAACACCAAAACATCAATACAGGTTGTTTTTTTACTGTAAGTGTTTGAACAACTGACCAGTGCTTTCATTGTTCTGGCACGGACAGTTCAAACTGTTCTTCACAAAGTTTAGCAAGTTTTTAAGAGACACTGCTGTTTATTCATAATGCCATTATGTGAATATCAACAGTCAATACCTCCTCTCTCTCACATAGGCTTTACATTTCAGATGCTAAATCGAAGTTTAATTAGACCGAACTCTGTGTGAGATGAAGAAACAGGATCAATTCATGTCAAAAATTGAATGTGTCCTCACTGGCATGGATGAATGTTGGTGTGACCCCACCCGAACTCCCTGACTATTACAGCACATATCTGCCAGGCTCAATCGATTCTCAGGGCGGTTTTCACTCTACATTAAATGTGCAGTAAAAACTGAGCTCAAAAGGCATAGCCAGGCTTCAATTAGGTCTCCAAAATTGATTTGTACAAACTGCAAGCAAATAGTAGCTCGTAACCTTTCTCACAGCAGACACAGTGCCTTGTCATAGCAGAAAAAGCACAGGTAAGTAATTACAGTGGGTCTGTTCCAGTCAGTGAGCCAACATGTACAAAGCATGAGCAAGCGCCTAGGGACAGCAATTAATAATGTTATTGGATTAAAATGTCTATTGCAGGGAGAGATCAACCTGACATTATTTTAAATCTCTTCCTTGACATCCTGCCAGGTTAGGGATTTTGAGAGCATGAGGCAAGTCTGATCACAGTCCATTATGATTTATCTGGCCATTATATACAGGCTAAGAGCAAATGAAAATCAGCCTGCTGATGCATTAGCTCAGATTTCATTTTGCTATGCTAGACAGTACAACTGTTACCTAACAGATGTCAACATCTGTCCGCCTCTCGTATAACCTTGAATTGAAAAAACTGCTCCCGAATTAAATTGAAGTCATTCACTTCCTGAACTGTTCTGAATTTTCATGCATTTTTGTGATTGACCGCACCACCTGACTGTGAATGTTATTTTTTTGACCTGTCAAGGCAAACTGCATACATGATTGGTGAGCACTTATACTGACTGTAAAACATTCACATGCAGTAAAGGAGATTTGATGACAGTACATTTATGCTTCTGCATTCATTCAATCAATTTATTCTCAATGTAGCACACCTTCAGAGACGTCACAACATATGAGGAAAGACTGGAGAGTTATTAGTTGCACTGCAGCTGTCAGCGTACTTCTTCACTTCACTGCCTGCCTGGACTTAAAGCAGCAGCCTTCTGGATTACAGATAGACCTCTCTAACCTCTGGCAATTTGCAAACTTCCCTTTGAGCTTTCAATTTAAAATATATGAAAGCTAGATTGTAAATAGAGTTATATTGCATGTAAAATGAATTCACTCCTAAAACAGTTGTTTGCCCCCACCAACAGCTGGAGATCTAATTTAATAAGACAAACCTGTGTATGTGTGTGTGTGTGTGTGTGAGGGGAGGGATTACAGAACATCTCTGGGCATCATGTGTTTATCAAAGATGAGGAATAAGTGAAGACATGTTGCCTCATCTGTAAGCATTCCACAATTCACTATTCTATTCTATTTTGCAGTGTTCTACTGTTATATCTGCTCCATTTTGTTCTATTCCGTTCTTTATAATGCAGTGCAGTGACACTAATAGCAGTGCTCTCTTCTGCTACAACATTCTGTTCTTTATATTCTGCTGAGGACTGCTGATCTTTGTTTTGCAAGACAGCATCCTAAAATCAGGCAAAGTACCAAAATAACGACACAGCCTACAGAAGCCAAGTATACCGGGCTTGGATGGCAGACTACACGTAGCTCTAGCTAAACCAATGCCTCGCGCACAGGCGACATGGTGACAGGCAAAAACATTCCAAATCTCAACCGCACGAGGAGGAGGAGGTCGTAAACCCCGGATCAGTGTTCTTGCTGACGTGTGTCATTGATTTGCTTATTTACCTACCAACAGCTTCCAGCACAGGAGCCAAAACGAGATCATCTCCAGGCGGCCGCGGCGCGCGCATTCCTCTCCACCTCTCCCCAGCGGCAGCGCGAGAAGCCAGGCGGCTACCCGCTGGCGCGAGGAGGGACGCATACAAGCTGAAGGCTGCAGCGAGTTTATGTTTGTGTGGTGGAGAGAGGTAGAGATGGGAAGGAGATTAACAGAGAGAGAAGGAGAGAGAGAGGGAGAGAGGAAGGGTATATCGACCTGTGTTATTATGTTGTCAGTTAATCAGAGCGGAAGAGATACATTTGTATTGGCAGGCACATCTGTCTCTCTCTCTCTCTCTCTCCCTCCCTCTCTCTACTGTATCCCTGGCACTGCCTCCCCCTCACACGTGTGCTGCATCCTGCCGTTCCCGCCCTCCAGGCTCCAACACTGTACAAGATAACCATCTTAACAAGTAGGCCAGACCTATAGGGATGTAACATTCACAAAATCCATGGTTTGATTGGGTGTGTTATTGTGACATCACTTTTAATACAACATAATTTAGCAGGTAGTGCAGAGAATAATCCAGTTTTCAAATTATTATAATTACTACAGTGAACAGAGCCCTAATCAGATCAAACAAAGTCATTGTGCTCAGTCCAGTACCATACAGGCTATCCCAGTGTCATTTGACAGGGTGTCAGTAGTAAACATTGAGGAGCCTGTTTATCAACGCGTCACTTATACAGGTATCACCAGTTGCCTTTCGGAGTAAAATCTGGACCAAAACCCCAGCCCGCCCCAACTCTTTAACCCCCATCAACACTTTAATACAGATCTGGTAGAGCTCCTTCTTCCTGGCAGCATTAAACTCACTTAAACAGGTTGTTGCAAATGACAAGAGCTGCCCTCAGGTCAGCAAGAGCTTGTCCACCTTCAGCTATGGGCAAGTAAAGAGCTGCTGCCCTGGTCCAGTGGTACCCTGGCTAAAACAAGTTCATAAGAGTCTGCTGTATCTGCTCAATGAGGCCCCTCAGTGGAAGAAGGACAATCAACCTGTGCCACAGAGCCGAGGCAACCAAGTTATTAGCAACCAGAACTCTACCCCTATACGTCAGCTGGGGAAGCAACCATTTCTATTCAGACAACTTTCTCCTCTACACCTTCCCAGATAGTGATCAGTACCTAAAAACACCCCTAACACCCTCATACTTTCCCACCCCACCCAAGACCCCCAGGGAAACTAGGTGCTGTCCCTCCCTGCCATTCTCCCAGGTGCACAGCTTCACTCTTCTCCCAGTTCACTCATGCAGAGGAGCCTTTTTCATACAACTCCAAAGTCTCTACTTGCTCATTAGCATCTCCCTGTGTTTTTATAAAAACATTAACACCATCAGCCTAAGGAGACAATGTCATAATAGCACTATATACATGACCTGGTATAGAGAGCAAGGGTTCCAATGCCGAGATGTACAGCTCCCCTGAAATGGGACAGCCCTGCCTAATCCCCTTTATAACAGGGCTAACCTAACCCCCTACCCCCACCTTTACAATACCTGAGACATCATTATACAATAGTTTAAGACAAAAAACCTTCTGTGAAACCAAAATCCCTCAGTGTGGAAAATAAATATCTGTGATCTACCCTATCAAACCCCTTCTCTTGATCTGAAGACACCACCCCTATATCGAACTCACAAACTTCAGACAAGTCAAAAACATCATACACTGAAAAAAAGGACTCACCGGGTCTTTGGATTTACACAAATTATGCTAGTATATGCAACGCAACTCATTCATATTTCCTCTGTTAACATAATTCAAACAAGTTAACCCCTAAAGAAAATTATGTTGGTTTTACACATTATCATTGTGTGGGACCGATGTACACATTACAATCAAGTAAATCAAACAAATCCTTTTTTTCAGTGTACATAAGAAAACTATTGTCCACAATAGTCCTCCTAGGAACACAGTATGTCTGGTCTTTGTGAACTATGAACTCTAAACAACCTTTAAATCAGTTATCCAACACCTTTGAAAGAATTTTATAATCCACACACAAAATTGAGACTGGCCTTCAGTTTTCAAGAAGTCCCAGATCCCCTTCTTAGGAACCAGAGAAATTACTGCTTTCTTACATGATGCTGGCAGTAAACCTTCCTGCAAGTGTGGCACAGTGAATGACATGTTCATTGAATTGATGCTGATTGCATATAACTGGTTATTTGAGCATAGATGTTTGGAGATATCGCCAGTAGGTGTCAATAGCGTACCGCGAAAATGCAGACAGGTGAAGCGGGTCCCGCGTGACCTGAAACAGGAAACGAGACTTGCTTCTGTGAGATTGCAAAATGCTGTGCGCTGTGTAACCGCAAAGAAAATAAACACTTCTAATGTGTATATTTCTGTAATTACAGGTAAGCTGGCGATATACCAGATTAGACTGTTTTATCTGACTGTTACTGTGTTTTGGGACATTGTGTTAGAGTTTGTTATGGTTGTGAAAACCAGGTTGTAGTAAGAGGAGCCGGTTAGCATGTTGTCATTGCAGTAATATAAAGGCGACGGGGGAATGTTAATGTGAGGATATGAACCCTCGTGCGAGGGAGCCCCCACCGCTCGTTCATGTGGTTAATGCAATGAATGTAAGGGAAAAGGAAACAGGAAACGAGACTTGCTTCTGTGAGATTGCA